GTCAGAAGCGATCACATCAAGCCAGCAGATCTCAATAAAAGCCCAGCGTGCCGGAGAGATGTGGTTATGGGGAAGTGACTGCAGCATTGTACGTGCTCACCCACACACGAGGGGAGCTGGAACTGCAGGCCAGGCCTTGCCCAGGGCTGTGCAGAGGTCTGAGAGGATGTGACCGGGTGGGGATGGATGGTGGCTGGTTTGCCGGGGGCAGCAGAGCCCAGCGCGCCGCCCGGAACGCGCCAGACGCTCCGTGACCTACTGGGAATGAGGGAAGAGGAGACAGTGCCACAGCCAGGGAGGGCTGCTGGGTCCCTGGGAGCGGGGAGGGCTGTCTGTGCTGAGGGCAGGCAGAGCCTGCAGTCACAGCCTTTACTGCATCTACCAGCTGGGATCCTGGGAAACCTGGAAGGGAGGACGGATGCGACCAGAGAGTAAGAATCCTTCTGGGTAGCAGCAGTTCACTTGGGTCTTCCTGGACTGATGACAAAACACGAACCAGGATGTTTTGTGGTTAAAGAGTTTTCAAGAGGCTTCCAATTTCAGTCTTATTTTGGGGGTTTGATTATTGCTTTCCTGGGATCGTGAGGTTTGACTGGGATAGGGAATCGTAAAGTCCTGGGTTAGGCTTCTAAAGGTGTAATCCTTTGAAGTAATAAAACACATCTCCAGCCTGCATACAGGAGCAAGGGAGGGAAGGGGGAGCCAATCTGTGAATAGCAACAGCTCAGGTAACTCTTGCAGTCCTTTAATTAATGCTTCCAGTCTCTGGAGCCCAGCTTTGGTGGCTGTTTAACTAGTCTGGAGGGATTAGGATTCTAACTGTTGAACTGTGGGGATTTGCTTGAAAAACAGTCACAATAGCAGGGAAAAAAATGAACTGAGAGCAGTGGCATGGTGTCATCTCTGCATTACTGAGGTTCAGCTGTGCACGAGGTCAATTGCCAAGCTGCTAATGCAGAGTGAAGATTAATTGGCTTTGGTCAGCCTTTCCTTCACTATCTGAATATCATTATCAGGAATGTAAATGATTATGCAATGCAGAGAAATGCCACAATAGTCTCAGTGTCTCCTTTTATACTTGTCTCTTTTTGAACAGGGCTTTATCTAAATGCAAATGTGATTTCAGCCTTCTGATTAGGACATTATACAGTCATCCCTTCCAGAAAAGCACAATTAGCAGATTATTTTATTTCTGACTCAACAGTTCTTGGTTTAGATAGTTTGTTTGTTGTGCTACGCATGATATTTAAGTTATCAGAAGGAGATTTACATTATTAGTCAGGATTATAGCCAGATTTTGTGAGGTCGAGGGTTTTTGCTTGGCAGATAAAAATGGTAACATTTGTGGGATTCGAGGGGGGATGTTTTTAGAACAAAAGGCAACTGTACAGATTTTTACAGTGCTTCATTGTGCCTAGGAAGGGGCAGATTACAGCAGCACGGAGTAACTGTGCAAATTCTCCAGTGCCTTGGGCTGTACAAGGGCAGAGTGTGGCCTTACCTGTTGTCAGGATCCAGTCTCTGTCGTGGTGTGCTCATGCAGGGCCCAGTATCCTGGAACTTCACAGGGGGGCAGCTCATGAGATCATTTCTTACCAGAACAGCCATCAGGTTTTCCGTGTGCTGTGGTGTGATATTGCCAAGACTGAAGTTACATTCTCAGAAAAACACGGATCTTTGGTGATAAACTTCCCTGTGAAGCTTGTCCATTTCACAGCATTTGCAGCATTTTTGGAGCTGTGAATCTGTCATAACTCAGGACTTAGTTTTTTTTTAATTTGAGTCTCATGCAGTTTAGGTTTGATAATAGACATGGTGAAAATTTCCATCTCTAAATCTGTTAGAAAGTATCTATGGGAAGGTGAAGGATTTTGTTTCCCCCCAAAATTCATTGTTGCAAATGTATTTGTCAGGTGATGTGGTTTCAACAGATCATCATTTTCCTGTGAAAAATTATTGCAGTGGAAAATTCCCAATTACCTATAGTGAAACAACATTTTCAATTCCACTGCTCAGTTCAATCTTTCCATATTCGTATGTTTCCATGCCTGGTTCCTTGCTCTCTCCTAGAGCTGCTTTTCTTTCTGCTGGGCCAAGCTGTCCAGGGCAGTCCCAGCACAGGAAGGATCTCTGCATTTGTGACAGGAAATCTATTGGACCACTTAGGTTTAATTAGAGCACAGTGACATGTGATGAGATCCCAACTTTTTCTACACTCCGGATTATGGAATGGGTCCATTTTTGTCTTATCGTTATTAATCTACATTATTCTCAAATACCCATTTTAAAGGTCCCTTCCAACCCAAAGCATTCCATGATTACATTTCTATTTTCAAACTAGGACACAGACTTGGAATCATCCTAGCTAATTTAGGCTTGTAACTGCAGGATCTAGTTTTGCTGCTTCTTCTGTGTTTGATGGAGAGAAGGGCAGGGATTAATTCAGTCTGTATGTTATGAGTCACATTTTGGAGTTGCTTATCTTTCTGCTGCTTGGAGGGGAATGCAGGGATCTCTGGGTGTGTAATCACCTCCTGTACTTGAGTGCCAAAGTGAAATGAATCCAAACCAAAAATGCATGGAGCTGACACCCAGCATAGGTTTCGTTGCAGAGAGAAAATTTCATTCCAGAGAAAAAAACATTGGAAGAAAACAAGAGATGGACATGTTAAAGCCTGGGGGTATTTTGATCTGCATTCTAAGCTGAACTTTTTAGCTAAAGTCACAATTAGCACATCTTGTGTGCTTGGAAAGTGAGGGAGCATTAAAGTAGGCAGACTGAAGCCATTTTGAAAAGTCAGCTCCTGGTCTGTATTTCTCAATTCTTGTAGTATCTTCCTGCCCTCCATATGGGACTTTTTTTAGAACAGTATCCAGTTCCTGTAGTGTGTGAAGACAAATGGCTCTTATTAAACAAATCAGTAAAAACAGAACTGGAATCAAGCAGAATGAGAGGATTGCAGCAGCATAGAGCTAACTTATTGCCCTCATGATGGAAGATTGGTTTGCTAATTGTTCATGAAAGCTAATGGAAGCCATATTTTGGCTGTGAATAATTCTCAGGAGGGATCACTGTGGAGTCTTACCTCATTTCTCATACTTTCCTGGTAGACCATCTCAAGTATTCCAAAGCAGACTCACCTCACAAAGCTCCAAGTGCAGAGAGTGGTGGTCAGGTGTGGGTCCTAGAGCAAGGTGGGACCGGCTCGGGATGAGGGAGCTTTGCTGGCACATCACTCACCTCTCAGGGGCTGGTGCACACTGGCAAAGGGCTTTGATTATTCCGTGTTGCTAAATGGATTTTGAGAAGTCCAGATGAACTGCACAGAACCCATTTTGGGTGTAAGGGAAGATGTCAGCACAAGGGAGCAGGAAAGGGATTCTGACGTACATTCTTCGAAGGTTTCTGCCTGTTAACCCCATTGTATGTCTTAGAATTAGTTTTACTAATTTTCATCATCAGCTCAAGAGACAGTCACCCTGGTAAATGCTTCCTTGAGACAGCCATCTTACCCCTTGGGGGCTGGAAAAGCTTCTTCTGAAGTGTCAGCAGAGCCTTCCCTAGGGGCTTCCAGTGCTGTGGCCAGGGGGGCTCAGCCCCTGGAGCAGCTCCTGCTGCTGTTACAGGAGGCACTCTCCATTCTGAAAATCATCAGAAGCTGGAGTTCAGCAGCCCTTCAGCAGGGACCAGACACAGCCTGTCCTGAGTGCTCAGGAGGGACTCTGCAGGGTCTGTGCCAGCAGCAAAGCACAGACCCCCCAAAAAGACATTCTGGGTGTCTCGACGTGGTGACTAAAACATTAAAGCTTTTCAGTGGCCTCTGCCACTGTGAGTTAGCAGAGCTCGTTACAGCTGTAGGGCTGTGCTAATTGATATCTACGCAGTTAAAGACATGGAATTTTCATTTACTGAAAATACAGATTACAACGGTACATATCCCATTGCGGTGGGTATTTATAGGTGCAGAATGAGGAGATTTTATCCACTGCAACAAGATCTAGTCTGTGCAAATATACAGCCCAGGCATGTGATAGCTGTGGTGTTCTACTCTGAAATAAATTTGGCTGAAAAGCTTAAATTACTTAAGAAAAAAGAAAAAAAATGTTCCAAATAATGAGTAATTATCATAACAGGTACTAAAATAATGCCATGCACCTATTTCATTATTCAGTTGCTTATTTATTATCTTTATTCTTAAAAGTAATGATATAAAAGTGCTTTTTTCCAAATGTTAATTTAGTTCTCTGCAGATGGCAACCATCTGTTAAATGACAAGACATTTACAGTCTTTGATTAGCACTTTATAGAGCTTGGATGAACTTATTTGTTACAATATTTAAGTATAGTTATGGAGGTGAAACTTGGTAGATTTGTTCTTTTCCTGTTTCTGTTACCAAAAAAATGGAAAATTTCAAACCTGACAATGTTTTTACCTCTCTTCTCCTTTACTTATCTATGTTATTTCAAGCTGAAGCCTTGACATTCTTGTCAGAAGGACAATAATAGGAAATATTGTTAAATTCCAGCACCATTTGTAGCATTTATGAGTGTTCTCGTTCTGGAAAGTCACCGTGTGGATGAAGTCTTAGGGGTGCTCAAGGAAAGCATTTGAAGGGCTCAGAGGATCATGGACACTTCCTGTGGGCTGTGATCCAGCTTTGTGTGCCCACAGAAAATGTACAGACTGGGGGTCTGTCTGTGAAATATTGGCACATGAGTTACTGCTCCCATCCCAGAGTGATGTGATCTGATTGCATGAGCTCCATCTTTGTGTTTGATACCTTGATCAGTGACAACCAACCCCTCTCTGTCCATAAGCTCAGCAAGTTCTGATTCATTTCATCCTGGGGTTTCCCGCAAAGTTTCTGCAAGTCCTGCTGCTGATGCTCAGTGTCCTGGCCCTGTTTGCATTGTTCAGTGTTGCTTTACGCTGCCCCTCCTGTGTTTCTGATGAGCCTCCTGAGGTGTTTCGGTGTGTGTTTGTGTCCACAGGTGCGGGCGGCGATGGTGCCGCTGCCGCAGGCGGAGCTGGTGCGGAACGCGGTGCAGCTGTACCGGTACCTGCTGCGCTGCTGCAGGAGCCTGCCCGACGACAGCATCCGCCGGCACTACAGGCACCACATCAGGCAGGTCAGCACAGCACCCTGCTGGGGCACACTGTGGGGGCTGCTTTGCGTTCCCACCAACTTCTTATAGCTCCTGGCGCTTGAAAAAATAAACCCAACTATTCTTCTGCAAGCTCGAGACATTAGCAGGGTTATAGTGGGACTATGTGAAGGAGCATTACTTTTTGTTTGCTTCTGAAACCTTCTATTTTTCTTGGCTTTCATCTCTAATTCTTTTGATAGTCAAGAGGATGAACATCATTCCTTACTCCATAAACTCATCTTTAATGGCCAAACTTACTGGTTCCTTGTCAGTCATTTATATATCTATATATCTCCTACCTCCCTGGCTGGGTAAATCTCATCTGACTGTTCATATTCCGTACTTCATATGGAAGTGATTTCATGCATTTGATCATGCCTGTTGTCCTGTGTACCAGACAATTTCAGTTCTTGCTTTTGTTGATGACGTATGAAAAGAGTAAAATACTTCATGTGAAATTCCATATGACCAGATTTGTTGTGGAAATAGCGTGGCCAGGTGCTACAATGTGTATCTTTACCTTTCCAGACCAACAGTTTATTTTGCATCAAATATTTTTCTAAGATTTAAAAGCGATCCTTATTTTGACAACTGATGTGTTGCCTGGTCTGTGTGACACTTGGAATGTTGCAGAGTTTCAAAGTTCATGCTGATGAAGATGACCCTGAGCGAATCCAGCAGATCATTAAAAGAGCCATTGAAGATGCTGACTGGGTGATGAATAAAGTAAGTGCCTCAGATTGTCTGTGTTTTGGTTTTTCCCAGTTCAAAACAAGAAGTAAATGCTGGAAAGCGAATTCTGAACAGGCAATTTTTGTGTTGACCTGGACATTGAAGGGTCTGGGTGATAGGAAATACCCAGCCAATAGGAATCTGTGATTGTGACAGCTCTTACTCGTTGAGTATAAGGAGACAAATCAGAAGTTCAGCTTGCTCTATATACCTGTTGATTTTAGTTTACTAAGTGACTGTTAAGTCCTTCTCTCTGCCATGAAATCCAAATGAGAATTGTCGCAGGAGCAAGCAGAGATTAGTCACAGATTATGAAATTATAGCAGTAGCCAAATGCCAGCAGTAACAGCCTAGTCAATAACTGTGCCTGAATCTGATTTTATTCTCCTACAATTAGAATTGTAGGCTTATTCTGAAAGGAAGAGAATAGGCTCATTCTGCTTCAGCCACAGAGGCTGTTGCCTGGTTCTGTGGCAAGCTGATGATGGACCGGTGTGAGAGGAGGGGCAGACTCACAGTGCCTGCCAAGGAGCATTATTTTATACTGCAGAGAGAAATCCTGTCAAATCTCAATCAAACTTAAAGGAGACAAAGATAAATTTATGTGGATCCTGAAGAGAGTTGTAAATCCTTGTCAGCATGAACTGTTGCTTAGTTATGTGCTTTTTCAAAAAAAACATTTTGTTTTGTTTTTCCAGTATAAAAAACAGAAGTAGAAGAGGAAGGATGAAGACAAGATGGACATTGGTAAACATCCTTAGAGGACTTGCAGTCAAGCTCAGTGCTGTATTAGAATTATTGCCTGAAGTTTTCTCTTAGATACCACAAATACAGTAGTTTATATCTCATTGGGATGTCATGAAGCTAAATTAATATTTCTGAAGCTATTTAAGTCTGCAAATGAAAAGTCACAGTTGATGTTAAAATTATTGCTTTGTATCATCACAAACTTTTAAGTTAAAGCCCAAACTTGTCTAAGCTATGAGTACCTTCCTCCAGTATAGTGTTAGGCCTGGATCAACCCTGGCAGTGTGTGACACACGTTCGTGCAGGTTCTTTGGTGACAAGGTTCCTCTGCATCAGTCACCGTGGATTTCAGTGACTGAGTTCAGCTCGTGTGTGTGTGACCCTGATGACAGCTGTCACTGTGAGAGGTCACATCATCCTCTGTCGGGACCAGAGGTGTGTTCAGAGGGAAGCAGAGGTATGACCAGAGCACAGGGCTGGGTTTGATCCAACAGCAAACTCAAAAGCCTGGGCTGCCGAGGGGAGAACATGCCGTGAGAACTTTCACCCTTCTGAAGCCTGAACTGCAGTATTTTCCACTTGCCTGTCGGTGCTATAGCCACATCTTCACTCTGCTCTGTGGGCTGGTTGAACTGATGGCTGTCTCATTAAAGTTGGGGGCTGTCACTGTCTCTGAGCTGCCACGAGCACAGCCCAGGCTCGGTGGGTCAGTGGGAGCGGCGCAGTCGCTGCCTGGGCAGTGCTGTGCGGCTCAGAGGCCTTCACAGCTCTTTGCAACACGAAATAAACGTCCTTTCAAAACGGGAGTCCCCGTGCTTTTCGAGAAGCCCGTCTTTGCGCTGCCAGGGTAGGTTTGCAGGTGGGAACCCTGCGAGCCCCTGGAGCGGAGCGGCGGGCTGTGTTCCGGCCGCAGTGCCGCGCTCGGCCCGCAGGGGGCGGTGCGGGCGCACCTGAGCGCAGGTGTGTCCCCGGGGGGGGGGGGCGGCTCCGCTCTGCCCTCCTCATCATCATCTCTGCCCTCCTCATCCTCATCTCGAGAGAAACGGAGATAAAACCTGGCTCACGGTAGCCCAGCAGAATTTGGGAAGAGCTGTATCAGAAACGGGGCTGCAAGTGAACGTGTGTATTGTATCAAAAAACCCCCTTTGTCCCTGCTAGCCCTAAACCCTCCTCTCCAAGAATTCCTGGCCTCTTATTCTTCCCTCTGCCATCACCACTGTTGTTCCTCTCTGTACTCCCACATCTTTCACATCACCTTACACACCCTTAACTTTTGTTGCCCTTGTTTTACATATTCCTCAATTCTGTTCTCAGGTTTTCTCTCTCCCCCACTTATTTCTTCTCATCAAATCCTTTTCTGTCAGGTATATCAGAACACATTCAGGTGTTATGCTGGGCCAGCCTTCTGCTTAATTTCAGGTAAAGCAGGAAGGTGACAGAGTTTCTAAACAGAGCAGGTGTTTCTCTATGTGAGGAAAGCCTCTTAAGTACATTTTTTTGAAAGTGCCATCATTTTGGTTTAAACTTTCAAAATAATTCGGTGCAAGGTAGAACACAGAAAGCTTCAACCTTGGCAGTCGACAAGGAATATCCAATATGATACTGAACAGTAATAAAAAAGCTCAGGCATTTTGCTGGTAGCTGAGCGTGCTGGTCTGATCGAGAGCAGCAAACGGGTGAGCCGTGCTGTACTCCAGATCTGGTCTGTGTGTTTGATCTGGAGCATGGAGATGCACTGACCTTTGTATCACTGCAATGGTGAAAATTAAATCCTTAGTGGGATTAGTAGTGTATGGAAACACGGCAGTTTCCTGAACTTTAAATGTGGAGTGCTCAGCAACCCTCTCTGGCTGTAATTGCCTGAATTCTGGTAGCGTGAGATGTAATATTTTGTTCAGTTACAAACTAGGATAATTGCATGTGTTTAAGTCACTCTTACATGCCTGTTATTTAATTTATGGCTAGTTCAAGAAGGAAAGCACCAGGAGCTGGAAGATGCAACCAGGACATATCTGCAGCTCCAAATGTCCAGGGTGCCAGCTGAGAACATCAGACCAAAGGTATGATAGAGGAACCTATGGGAGGACCACAATCTGTGAGGTTTAGGTTTTAGAAAGTGGTAGAGCATTCAGTTCTTGGTAGGGCACAGAGGAGGAACATGATTGGTGAGCAGGAGACATCATGACTAAATATTTTGACAGGAGTGATTCAGCTGGAGGGCATGAGGATATGTCTGAAGGGATTTTGTTGGGGTTTTTTATCATACAAATATAATCTGGTTTTCAAAATAGCAACCCTTTAATAGAGTGAAAATGCAAGGGTAACATCACTTAGTATACAAATAATTTTCTTGGTGGTGAGGAGGAATGATGCAAACAACTATTTACTTCCCTGAAAGTGAAAGTAATGCCAGTGTCTCAGACATGTCTCTGTAATGACTGGGCTGAAGTCATTCAGCTGCACAGCTGAGGCTTTTGTGTTTCCAAGACATTATATAAATTCCATTCTCCAGCAGCACAACCTGAGTCCCAAGATGTTACATTAACCCAGATGTAGATGAGAACCTGAACTCTGAGAGGAGATTTGGGCAGAGCTTCAATACTTGCAACCAAAATTATTATTCAGAAAACTTCTGCCCAGAAGTCGTTTAATCCTGGAGTTGGCCAAATTTACCACTCACTGACCTGTCTGACTGGAGTTCTCTTCACCTTTGTTTGAGCAGCTTTCTGCCTCTGTGCCACCCAGCCCTGCTGAGCCTCCAGAACGTTCCCTGTTCCCAGTGCCAGCGATCACTGCCAGCGGCTCTAACGGGGCCCACTGGGAGAAGGAACATGGCCACAGGCACTGCTCCTGGCTTCTCTGATGGCAACTGGAGTCAAAACATCAATCCCAAATACGTTGGTGCATCTGTGTTTCCATTTTCAGTCATCCAGAATCTCTGAGCATAAAGCTGGTGGATCAAAGCGACTGTGTTGTGTCCTGAAACTACTCTTGCAGAGTTTCAAACAGCTGATGGTGTCCATGAAGCTGCTGACATAGCCAGGCATAACGTCAGTAAAAGGAGACAAGCCGATTCGTAGGCTTTAGTTTCTCTTACTGAAATGAGGAACCCGTTTCTGCTGAGTTCTGGTAAGTGATGGCCTGTTGATAGGTGACTGCAATAGCTGAGTGAGTGATTAAGGGCCGGTCAGAAGGTTGTCTCCAAGCCCTGATAACTGCTCCTGCAGTAAGTGATGGCAGCATCAGTTCCAGTGTGGAATAGGATCCCATGCCCCTGCCTAGCCCGGCATTTTCATTGTGTTTACACAAATGCAACAACTACATTCTGCTGACAAAACACTTCTGCAGCTGGTTACAGTAAGACCTTGAGTCAATAACTTCTCCTAAGTACTCTACAATTCAGAGCTGAGTGGGCTTAACCCTTCAAAGGTTGTGTAGTGGCAACTCTTGGTTAAGGAGGTAGAGAGGGTCTCACAGAAGACTTGTTATGCAAGACAAACATTAGAACAAGGAAAAGACAGTTGAGAGACTTATGTTTACCAGGGTGAGATCATGCTTTACATTCTTGCAGTATGGAAAAACAAATCATTTAGATCATGTTACAGACTTATCAACATCCAGTCTAAGGCCAGAACCAAAGCTGGTGCTATGCTTTCTGATCTGTGTATACATGACCTTGGGAACCTAAAGCTGAAATTGTGTGGAAATAATCTGTACGTTACAAATATGGAAGCAATGTGCCTAAAATGGAGCAGTGGCAGCGGATTGGTCAATGTGCTTTGTTTAGTGTTTAGGTTCCTGCTCTTAAGCTCTCAGACAAATGGTAAAGACTACTTTGGTTATTGCCAGCCTTGGAGCCTCATGTAGAAACTTTCTGTCTAGTGAATTTTTTTCCCTTAAAAAAAAAAAATTGTTTATTTATTCATTTCAGGTTTTGGTATGGAAAAGATTGTGTAAATGTGTGGTGAATGTAAAATACAGGATAGCATTCTGCTCTTCACGTGGCTCATGGCTCAAGACACATGTACCTCTGATCACATTCTTTTGTCAGAGGTGTTACTGATTTCAACTCACTCTCCACCGAAAGTCATTTGAGCTCTGTGATACTGAATAGAATTCTTCCAACCCAGGCCAGGCCTTGCTCAGCACCATTTGTCAGTAATTGAATGTTCTTTAAATCACTCTTTCTCACTTGGTTCCTTATGTCACAGGCTTTTTGTTTAGAGACACTTGAGCTTGAGGATTTGATGCTGAACAAAAACCTCCCTTGCATGGTGTTTGGCTTATTCTCAAATGTCATAAGGAAGTGATCTTTACTGTGATACCATGCAGAGCGGGAATACACACTATTTCTGGGAGAAACAAATAATATTCACTCTGATCTTTTTTAAAGGAAACAGTTTCTTATTTGGAATAGCTTTTAACTTGGTATTATAAATTGTGCCTTCATATAAAGCTCTGATAAGCTGCAAACTGAACAGGCAGCACAACATCTGTGAGTCTTAAACAGTCAGTATCGTGATATTTATTCGTTGTGAGAGTCCTTGACCTCAAACCATAAGGAGTCTCTAGAGCTTTATGCTCCACAACACTGTGTTCCTCAGAGTCCCCCCCAGAAGCAGAGGTGTATTTGAGATGAGCAGCCTCTTGGGCAGAGCGGTGCTCTGAAGCAAGTCACTGATACCCGAAAATGGCTGGACACAGACCCACACTGCCCACTGCCTTTCCTGCAGCCTTCCCTGCTGCTCAGAGCTGATGTATTTCTGCTGGAGCTCGAGCCAGCTGGCACATCTTTCAACTTTTGTATTATTTGATTAATTTATCTTATAATTCTGTCAAGCCAGATTTTATGAAATAGTGTTAACTGAAGTATACAATAATCATCAAGTACTCCTTTCAGCTTGTGATTAAGCAGGGCAGACACATTAACTTTTAAAAAAACCCTGCTCTTTGAAGAGTATTTTCCTCATAATTGTGTTTGATATTTAAAATAGTTTTTAAAAGTTTCGAAGCAGAGGGAGTCATCTGTCACTTGCAGCTAAGAGCTTGACAATGTTGGTATTTGTCGCTGAGGGAGAGGTCCCTGGCGTTGCTCACTGCA